CAAAGAAATTGAAAAAATTCAGCACAAAGCAACAAAAATTCCTCATGATATAACAAGTTTACCTTATGCTGAAAGGTGTCGGCGTCTCAGTTTTACTTCTTTGGAAACTCGCAGGCAACGCGGTGACTTGATCAAACAGTTTAAACTTGAAAACGGTTTTGAAATTATTAATTGGCATAATCCACCTTTTCGCAGATCAACATCCAACGTACTAACGCGTGATTTCACTTACAATAATGCTCGACATAATTTTTTCACAAATGTATTGTGAATGATTGGAATTATTTACTGTTGTCATGCAAAAAGGCTCCGTCAATTAATGGATTCAAAAGTAGAATTGACAAGTATTTTTTTCCTACAGCTGCAAACAGTGCATCTTTTACTGGAGATGAGCTGCACGTTTAATTTAATTAATTCGTGCTTTAGCAGCTACAAATATTGACTTTTTAGGTACATTTGTCACAAACCTAAACTGTAATTAAACGAAAGCAAAAAAAAAAAAAAAAAAAAATGCTTTTGTTTTTTAATTGTTTATTGGATTGTTTTTTTATTTATTTGTCATGTAATCTATAAAGACTTATTTAAATATACTACTATTACTATTACTATCTACTGTGAGAACCGCTGTTTTGATGGGTTAAAAAAATAGCAAAAAACTAATAATTGAGCTGGAGGAAATTTAACAAAAAAAAATTAACAGAGCAAATTAATAAATGGAGACTCAATTGTAGAATTAGAATACTACTTATTTCTTTCCATATTAAAACTGTTTACAATTTCTTTTTTTTAATGGTCACTTAGATTCTCTCTTTAACAGAGAGAAGTACAACCACTGAAGATTTTGGAATCATCATTTTTTTCATGCTCTGATTTTTGTGTATGTTTTTAATGTTTTACTAGTGTATTTGCTGAGTACAGTTAAATTTTGTAAAGAAACTTTATGGTCAAATATGAATTTGAGCCTGTTAACCTTTTACTTGGGCATTTTTTTTAGAACTTTATCTGCTTTTTTGGACATTTAACCTATAGATGGTACTTTTAGGTATATTTCTCATTTTAAAGTGAATTTTTTACTAATCTGTCTGTATTTTAAGTGGAACTCATACATACTTTTTCGAATCTGTTTTTGTTAAAAAAAATTTTTTTATCCAATTTTGTAACAAAAAAATAAAAACAAAAAAATATTTAATAACTAGAATAAAAATTTAAAAAAAAACAAAAACATTTTTCTTTTATGCTTTACCTTGATAATTTAAAGGAATTATATCTCTTTGAATATAATTCCATTTTTTAGTCGTAACCTGTTTTAATTTACAACTAAAAATGTTTTATTTTACAACTGATAAATCTAATTTTAGTTTCTATAATTTCTTTATTATTAACAATTTGTAACTTTTATACTGTAAATAAATTTGCATACATTGTATTTATATAGAAAATGGTTTTTAAATGTATTTATAATGAATATATTTTTTAGTTTGAACTACTACAGAATAATCCAAAATCTGATTAATCATTGTTTGTAGCAAGTTGGTAATGAACAAGCATGTTAGATATATTATTTGAACAAGCATTTTAGATATATCATTTGATATTAGTATTTGATATACTGTAAAATTATGTAGGTACTCAGCACTTGGCCACAAGCAGAAAACTGTATATATAAATTGTTACACTCTTTTCACAGTGGAAAGTTGTCAGGCAACAAAAAAAATTATACTATAGTTTACTATCATGGCTATCCTGTCATGAGTGTGGCCTTGTCCTTGTGAAGCGCATATAAGCTTAGCGGTAGTGGTGTAGTGGTAGAGAGCTCGCTTCATAAACGAGTGGTTCCGAGTTCGATCCCCACCACGTCCCTGGTAGTACCGCGCTCAACTTGTTTCTCCGCGCAGCGGCCTTGCTCGTCAAGGTTCGTGTTTCGGAGTTAAAGAGTTGAGAGAGGGTTATAACCACAAATAAGTAGCCTCCTCATCTGTAGTGGCCTTCTCGGCCTTGAGGAGGTGAATTAAAATACAAAAAAAAAAAAAAAAAAAGCTCAAAAGGTTAAACACATGCATTACCATGCGCATAAAGGTTTACAACTTGTTTGTTCATTTGACGAGAGAACATGTTCGAAACTTGTATGCGCTACACAAGAACAGGGTTTGTTGGTGAAAATGATACTCATCTTATCTGTCTATTTTAAAGATTTTTAAAAATTTTATATCAACTATAACACGTACTGTCAAAATGAATATTAGTACCAGGTTTACTAAAAGGTGAAAAAAGACACGCAATAGAAGTATTGTGTTTTAGTTGCTTTAAATATATTAATAGTTAATTTTCAGCTGTACAAAAATTTTTCTCTATGGCAACAAGAGTTTTGTGGTTTGGGTAGTTAAGTGGCTTATCAAGTTAGATCTCAAGAACCACATATCAAAACATCATAAAAGTTGCTGCACATCAAGTTCATGTACATATTGTTCTAATAAAATCAAAATTATATATATATATATATACATTTTTTTTTATCAAGAATTTCAGTTTTTTCGCTAACTTTCTGAACTATGCCTCAAAATTAGAAAAGAAAGGAAAACAGCCAATGTTATAAAACAAGTTACACTTAAGAAGGCCTAGAAATAACTTATAAATAAAGTGAAAAACCATAAATTCATCGTAAAGAAGACTTCTAAAACTTATAACATTCCATTAGAAACACTACATAAAAAAAAAGAAAACTTGGGGGATCAAACCATGGTGAGCAAATCAGACTTAATAGTTCAACAGAAAGTTAATTTTATTCAAATAATTACTTATATGATCGACTGAAGGAACAAAACAGAGGCAATAAAACACCTTCAATGAAAAAAGAAAGATCCTGGTGGTGAAGAAAGTGTAATGGTTCTTAACAAATTTGTTTTACAATTTGTTTTTTACTTAAGAACAATCTAGACCTAATCACAAATTCACTTGCAAAACAAATCTATCCATATTCAGAAAAATAAAAAAATTATGTAGTGTTTAATGTCACCCCAGATCAACTGTTCACTCTCATCTTGTTTTAAAATACGAAAATTAAGTTCATATAAAATCAAAAAATTAAGATATTTACTGCATAGTGTTGATCAGGCCTAGGATTTTCCAGAAAGCTGGAGAGTACAATGTTCTGTTAAAAAAATGTTTAAAAAGCATGACGAAATTGCAACATCATGTTGCAAACTTACATGTTTTTATAACTGTTACATTAATGTTGAATTCTAGTTTATGAACTAACAAGTTTAACATGTTTTGTAACTGTTATATTTATAACAAGTTTAACATGTTTTGTATTGTTATATGTTGAATTCTAATTTTGTAACTGTTGTATTAATGTTGAATTCTAGTTTATGAACTAACAAGTTTAACAAGTTTTGTAACTGTTATATTTATAACAAGTTCAACAAGTTTAACATGTTAAACTTGTTAGTTCATAAACTAAAATTCAACATTAATATTGTCTTACCAACTTTGAATAACTCATTTACCATAATAATTTTTATTGTGACTTAGTCAAATATATTCTGAACATGTTTTTAATTTAATGTAATTAACTAACACCTTTTATAGGTCAAGGAATTTTCTAGTGTCCCATATATCTAACGTGGTAATAAACTAGTGATAAAACATTCAGCTCACAATTGAAAGGTTGAGGTTCAAACCCATTCATTTTTGCACTGTTTACTAATTTGAGGATTGCAGTTTCAATGGTGACATGAGTTTTGATTATGGGTCGCAATGGATCCTAAATTGCTTAACAACCACATACTTTATTAACCTTAACAAATATAAACTGAAAAAAGTAATAACTTTATTTGATTATTCTCATAATTATCACATTGAGTATTTTTATACTACAAATGTAGTGGTTACTATGGATTTTTTATTTTGTTGATAGGAACATCTGAAATGCCTGGCAATGGTTCATTTTACATAGTTACTAGCTTAAGTAACTTTTCTTAAAGCATCAATGTTATAAACTAGACTAATATTAATGTGGTAGTCTGATTAAAAATTATTTTATGCATCTAAAAAATTTAACACATTCCCAATTACTAACTTTAAGTATTTTTATGCAGTTTCAGGGCTCTATTTTATATTTCATGAAACTACTATATAATTCATACAAAAAGAATTCTAATGCTTAAACCTTTTGTGTATAATATAAAAATATTTATTTGAAATTATTTTTCGAACCAAAACACATATATTCTGATAATTGTAAACCAGCTTTAGCTTCTTTTTCTTTACCATCTTACAGCAAACTACTATCTGATGCAAACAATAGTTCTTTAGATAAATATGATGTAACTAACATTTTATTTGACATAAACTACACACAAAATAGTGTTCTAATAGCTCCTTTGAAAGATAACACTTGATTTTATTAAATTATGCAAAAAAAAGTGAGGTTTTAAAATTAAAATCTATTATAAGCAATACAAAAAATATAATCAAATTAAAAAAAATAATTGGAAAATATTTTTTTTCTTTTTTTTTTAAAAAAAAGTTTTTTATTCTACAGGTTAAAAGCATAAGGCATGATAATTATATAAAAGTATATACGTTTTATAAAAGCTAAATATTTAAGCTATAAGATGGTATATGTATAAAATGATATAATGTAATTTTTATCCACCAACTGACCCACTGTGTCAAGTGGACACAGGAGCAATTAAAAGAGGAATTTATAAAATTAAAAAAAAATTACAGTACACATACAATAATTTAAATTTATGATCAGTTTTTAAAAAAACACATAAACTCCAAAAAAACCATTTGGGTTTGTTTTTTTTAAAAACTCTGGGTTTTTTCTGGGTGTTGGTAAAACCCTTCTACATCTCTAGTAGAACTTTAATCTAATAGTTTATGATTGTTAGATCAAAATAAATATAAAATATTTAATAGTTAAACATTTAACATTTATAACTTAATTTTAAGTTTTCTATTAGTTTTACAAACAATTAATTAAAATAAACTACCTTGAATTATTTCCAAGCTCACTGAGCAACCATTAAATTCCACACTAAGAGCCCCTTGTAAGTCTTTGTTTGCAAATGCTGACTAAGAATAATAAATTGTAAATAATGCTTTAAGGATATTTAATACATAATCTTGATCATGTTTTGAAAAAAAAAAACTTTTTAAAAAAGCGTGTAAAGTTACCCATTGCATTGAGTAACTGTGCTCAGAACAATTCGAATTACAATTAATCCAATTCAGATCATTTAACTGGAAACCATTTAACATGATTTTAGCATTTGAAAGATAAGATTCCTAAATTAATTAAAGAAACAAAATTAAGATATAGAAAAAAATTATAAACATTTAATAATATACTAAAAACAGAGATATTAAAAACAAGACCAGCTTAAGCACTAAATAAAATGATATATGAAGTTTGTTTATATTAAAAAAAAAAGGTGTTGAAAAAACAGTACTTACTGGAACAGGTAAGGAAAATGTAGCTACCAATTTTGGAAGATCATTCCAATAAACACAAAGTGACAATAGATATGGCTCTTGTTTTTCTAAACATATGGAAAAAATATATAAATATAAATAAAGGAAATGTTGACATGCAACCTTAAGTTGCAACATGCAACATGCAACCTTAAGTTGCAACATGCAACATGCAACCTTAAGTTTAATTTAAAAGCTTTTTATATAGAGTAAAATAACTGTTGCTTGAGTTAGATAGTTGTAGGTGGTATGTTTACATAAGTTGTAGATAGGTAGTCAACTCAAGGGGCATCTGGTTTAGGATCCCACTTCCCAATTGTATGCAGCTATGTGTTTCATGTTGCATTATTTATTACAAAATCAACCCTTCTTCCCCAACACACAATTTTAAAAACAAAAAATTTAAAAACAAAAAAAAAAATTATAATTCGACATATCTCAATTATATAGCATAATATTGAGTTTTTAAACTTGTAAAATTTTACAATTATATATTATCTCTTCTGAAACTTGTAAGAAGTTTTAAAAGAGATAATAGGTTAAATAAGCTTAAAATAAAAATTTAACAATCTAATATTACACAGCAAGCTCACAACAGAAAATGTTTAAATTTCAAATAAACTTTTTTGTTTATCAGCGCATTTTAATGCTTGCTAGATAAAAAACTTACTTCTTCCAAGTAGCCATCTATGATAGAACCAAGCACTTTGATCATTTGGATCAGTAAACACTGCATTTCGTACAAGCTCAAGTTCTATAAATAAAGTCAGTTTTAATCTATTATTGTTAGTTTTTATAAATCAACATTTCCTTTAAAACTTATTTACAAAAACATTGCATTTAAATTAGACTTGTCAACAAGATTTTTAGATGCAATTTTATCATATAGATGCATATTTATCAAATGGTGGTTGCTTAAACTGCTAAGTTTAACAAATGTCAAAATGTCAAGCAACTAAAAAATTGTAAAACTTAAGTTGACTCATAATTTTTTTTTAATGATTTTCAAAAATGGTGCCAAATTTAAATCTTAAAATCACTTTTCATGATCTAAAAAAATCTACTAATAATAAATTATTGAAAACAATAATAAACATAGAAGCTTGAATTATTCAAAACTAAAGAAAAAATATCCACACATTAAGCAAAAAATTATGACATAAAGTTCATTTTATATACAAACTTCAGCAAAACCTGAATTAAAAAAAATGTATCAACTACCAAACGAAACGACAAGTTTAAAGTTAACAGTAAATCAGATTTAGTGATATTTCTGATCAATTTTGATCTGTGCTCTTTTTTAAGAACAAACAAAAGAAGTGGAAGTTACCAGAATTACAAGTTACATTTTTTTCTGCTGAAAAATGATTTTCAGTAGTAAAAAAGCAAATATCTTTTTTTTTTAAAAAAAAAAAAAGATTTGTATTCTGAAACCAACAAAATAATTTTATGTTACTAAAAAAAAAATAATACAAGCAAAAGCATTATCAAAAAAAACTTCGGAAATTACACAAAGGAATTATGTATTTGTTTTGATGATTTTGCACTATAATTAACAATTTATACTACATTTATATTATACTTATATTACAGAAAACACATCACTATCTTTGATCTATCTCATTAAAAATATTTCCATATTCAAATTTTAAATCCGCCAACATCATTTTTATTTTATAATTTAGTGAGTATAATTTCAATCAGCATAAAAAGTTTGATTTATAAAAATGCAACATTAATACAACATTTATACCTTTATGTATTATTTCTTTTTTAATACAACCATCTTTTCTTTCACTTGAATAAAGGTTGCTACGATTGTGCCATGCAGAATAATTTGAAAAATTTTCAGTTATCTTTTCAGTTGTAAACTTAATTTCATCATCAAATGAAACTTTTGATTCTTTGACAACAAATCGACGATAATCCCAACAATGAACTACAAAACAACAAGTAGGTCATATCATGACAAAGGGTTTAATTTCAGAAATTAACCCCATTTGACTTCAGATTTTGATAAAAATTTTGCCAGTGTTTTGTTAAACATTTTATGAAGGTTGCCAAATTTTTAGATTATAATATTATTTCAAGTTTTATAGGATATTTTGTAAAGTATACACAAACTTCACTTTGATCTTTGCACTTTTGGGCTCTTATTGCAATGAAAGGCTAAAGCAACTCAAAAATTTGGTTTCTGATTAAACGGAGGGTGTAGATTACAAAATATTAATTAAAAGTTTTTAATCATGCTGAAATTTTAGTCTATAGTTCCCTAACTAATTAAACAAAATTAATAATAATTAGACCAAATAATTAGACAAAAAATTAGACACCAGATATTTTTACCATTTTGGAGAGATTTATCTTATGAATAAAAAAAATTTAGTTAAATGAGTAAAATCTTTAAGGTATTTTACAAATGATATAGTGTCAATAAAATAAATATTTTTATGTAGAACTAATTTAAGTAAGTATATTTTTATTATATGGACAAGTCTTTCTTAACTAAACGCAAAAGTTTAATCTATATTTTTATTTATACACAAATATAGAAACAAGAATCAAAGAAATAACAGTAATAACATCCTGACATATATTACTATTTCAATTATATATATATATATATATATATATATATATATATATATATATATATATATATATATATATATATATATATACATATATATATATATATATATATATATATATATATATATATATATATATATATATATATATATATATATATATATATATATATATATATATATATATATATATATATATATATGAGGATTTACAAAAATTTACAAAATTTGGATACACTGGAAATAACCACAGATGACATAAATATGATTTGATTTATGTTAAAGCAGTGTCTGGTAAATTCATTTTTAGCTGCAAGGAGGACAACTAGATAAGAAATTTTATTGAATAATATTTTAAAGTTGGCATCAATACATCTAACATATGGATATGAAATTGTATCTAAATTTATGCAAAGATTATTCAACTGCAAACTAAGTAAATCAAGTAAAAATGTTAACAAAATTGATGACATAGATGATTTAATATGTTCAACTGACACTCTAAATACTAGCCTTTCTAAAATTGAATTTTGAATGAAACATGATAGTAAAAGAGATAATGCTGGTTATGTAAAGAGAAAAATTCTAAAATTGAAAACAACTGTTGGTGTAAAAATAACTTCTGTCAGTGGTATATCAGCAAACAAAGTCCAAACACTAATTTATTCGTAAACTTTATCGTTTATACCAAACAGTTGGTCAAAAATAAAAATATGTGGTGAATTTAGAGTATTAAAGGGAATGGCTAAAGCAGCAACAATGTTTAAGGAAAAAAGTGGAATCTTAGCACTATAACAAAGAAATTCTTTAAAAAATTGCCAGAAAGTGTTAAAGAAAAAATATATGAAATTTTTTGAGCATTTGGCATTTAACAAAAAACTCTTTCATGTAGCCATTGTATTTGTGTATGCATTATTTAAAAAACATAAAGATAATGCTTACAAGTAGCCCAGTTACAGTGGACCATAAATGCCTGCTTGAAAAAATAGTTTGTAATATTGAATCTAGAGAATGTATGCTTTATTGTATTGTAATATATGTATTGTAATAATCCACTGACTGAAATGTTAAAGACATATCTTCAAGAACAGACTTTGAAATAGATGAAACTGTAATTTTTAAGTAATAAATAAAAATAAATCATGAAATTATTGAATCCTTACCATTACCAGTAGAACTTGATAAATGACAAAAGTATCCATTCTATTAATGCAATCAGTGCAATTATTTGAGATTTAAATTAAAAAATAAACTTAATTCATATGAGTTGATTGTTTTGATAGATTTTTTTGAAAATTATTCCTTTGTTATGCAAGATGCTATCTGGGATTTTACTAGGAAAACAGCAAAACAACTTTGCATCCTTTTTTTGTTTATTACAAACTGAATGATGTAACTCAAAACATGCAATTTTGATACAATTTCCGTTCATGTCTTTCTTAGTAAACTGATAGATTAAAATTTAATTACCTTTTGAACTTATTATTTGAGTTTTGGGTCAACTGCACAGTGCAAAATTTTAAAAATATTATGAATTTATGTTATCATCATACTGACTATGGCATAAATCCAAAATGGAATTTCTTTGCAACTAGTCATGAAAACGCTCCTTGCGATGGAGTTGGAAGAACTGTGAAGTGTTTAGCAGCACAGTGCGGCAGATATTGCTTTTATCCCTATCCCCCCTGCAACAGGTCCATATTACAATTTACCTTCAATTGATTTTTCAGACATTAATTTCAAATTTAAAGCTATTTTAAACATGTGATTGAAACCATGTTATATATATATATACATATATATACATATATATATATATATATATATATATATATATATATATATATATATATATATATATATATATATATACATATATATATATATATATATATATATATATATATATATATATATATATATATATATATATATATATATATATATATATATATATATATATATATCAGGGGCTATTCTAGAACGTTATTGACAGTGTCAACCATATTTGGGTGTCGCCAAAATTAAAATTTAAGATTTTTTTTTGTTTACATTTTTATGTTGAATATTGTTTTTTAGCGAAAAAAAAAAGACAATTTTCTGTTAAAGTTCACCAAAACGAGGGGGTACCGTCACCCAAATTTTTTTTTTAAATAGACCCTGTATATGTATATATATATATATATATATATATATATATATATATATATATATATATATATATATATATATATATATATATATATATATATATATATATATATATATATATATATATATATATAAATATATATATATATAGATATAGATATAGATATATAGATATATAGATATATAGATATAGATATATAGATATATAGATATGAATATGATTAAAAGTTATTTCACTTTTGGTACCATTCATTTCAGAACTATCATAGACATTTATTAAAGAGCTAATTTTTACTCTACAGCATTATATAACATGTTAATATTTAAAACCTTCAGAATAAATAGCAATACCAAAAATATTTTACTTCTGATGATATGACCCTACAAAAAGACATTTTTTTAATCTAGATCATCAGTTCACATGGAAACCTTGTTTTTGAGATAATTTAGTGTTTCATTACAAATATATATAAGCCAAAAAATGCAGGTTTTAGTAACATAATCGAATCAAAGTTTGGATATGCCTTACAAAATATCTTATAACACCTGGAACAATAAATATTAGGTTCAGAAAACTAGGTAATCTTTTTGAAAAAAGTTTAACAACATACTGACAGAAATTTTATCAAAATCTGAGATGATTGTGTGAGAATCTTTAGGCCGTTTGGCGTGAAATTATTTAACTGATACAATAATCATTTAATCAAATAATAATTTTATTCAATTAAAAAAAAAAAAGGTAAGTAAAAACAACAAAAAATTCAATAATTGAATTATTATTATTATAATATTAATATTAATAATAATTATTAATAATATTAAAATAACAATAAGAAACTTACAGTTTCTTGAGTCATACTTTAAAAATAGATTACAAAGACGTAACTCTTCAGACCAATTTGGTTTGTTCATGTTTATTATAATAAACTGCCTGTGATTCCAAACTCCGTATGATTTCGGATTGGTATGTAATGCATTTTGAGTAAGAACTAGCTCTTTACGAAGCATTTCACTATCTCTTTCTAAACTAAATATATAATCATTGCTTTTTTATTTAAATGTTCACCTTTCCAAAATAATTTCTATAATAAATATAACATTGCTTGGTATACTTTAATTTTTAATTTTTAGTTTTTTTTTTTTTTTTTACTTCTACTTTTATACAAGCTTCTTAAAGAAATTGTTAATATGAAAAATATAAATAAAAGAGAAGCTAGTGTACAGTTTCTGATGATGAGTTCACACAGTAAACTTTAAACACAGTAAACTTTAAAGTTTAAAGATCATGACAATGAGCACATGATCACAAATAACAGATAACGCGAGGTGCTATTTAATTGTTTAAATAAATCTTAAACTAATTCTTTTTTATAAATTTTTTGTTAGAAAATATTTTTACAATAAAAAACTGATTAACTGTCCTGATTACAATAATAATCATACTCCTCATTCTATTCATCTACAAATCTTGTTGGGAGTGAATTTGAATTTAAAAAAATAATTACAAAGCATTGATGGAAAAAATAAAATGAATAAAACTTTTTTAAGCTAGAAGGAACAGTTAAAATTTAGTAAAATGTTATAGAAATAGTTACAGTAGAATGATGTGACTTTACTAAATGACAAGTCACCCAAGATTGAGCTTTTGTTGCAGTAAACAATTGAGTTTTGTTTAGAGTCAAAATTCTCCAGCCACTGTAAGCTCAAAGCTGTCATATATGAATAATAGACTCAAGATCATCTGCTTATTTTAAGTGATCAAAAAGTGATGATTTGTGGTCAAGACTGAAAAATATATCATCTGAAAAAGTAACTTTTTTAAAAAAATAACATAAGCACATTTATATTGGCAATCTGGCTTCATATTAATTTAATAAACTTTAAGGGCTTCAGTATATACATTAACTTATTTAGAAAGAACATAAAAGGAAACTGTTGCTACATAGACTGAGGGTTTAAGTTAGGGTAGCAATAAATCTATTAGTCACTCTAATATTAAAAAACTCAATACTTAAAACTTACATGTTTTCTTTAAGCTTTGTTTCAATTATTTCCTTTCGAATATTCCATAATGTATATACATCAGGGTTAGCTAGAAGAAGTTTTTCGCTTTCTCTGAGAACAAAATCATCTTTTTCTTTAATACCTCTCTAAAAAGGAATATGTGGGTGAACTTAATATATATATATATATATATATATATATATATATATATATATATATATATGCAGCACTGGGTAATTGGGTACGCATTCAGCAATGACAACATAACTGCCGACCGAAAAATGTTTGAAGTCGTATATATATATATATATATATATATATATATATATATATATATATATATATATATATATATATATATATATTAAGAGTAAAAAGTATGTATATATATATATATATATATATATATATATATATATATATATATATATATATATATATATTAAGAGTAAAAAGTATGTATATATATATATATATATATATATATATATATATATATATATATATATATATATATTTAGGCCTCGGCGGGAAGCCCTCGTCCACACTCCCCTAAAACGTTTTACAGAGGCAATTTATGGCAATGATATGGCTTATCATTGTAACTAAAATAAAAAAAGTATTTATCTTAATAACTATTTTTAATAATTCTTAAAAAGCCTGCATTTTATTACAATAAGAAAATGTAAAACTTTTTTTATTGACAGTAAAAACTACGCTAGTCCAAAGAGTTTTTTCATGCTGCAATAAATGACACTTGTTATGTGTATACTCTTGTAATATTGACGTAACAAATGTATGCTTGAAATGCTGCAACAAATTTTTTAAATTATATATAATTTTTTAAATTATAAAATATTTTATAAATAAAAGAAAAATGAAAGTCTATATTTTTGCATATGCAAACGTCGGCGTTTGCTTAAAATTTTTAAAAACACGCGCATTACTTCAACAATTTTTTTAATTATTATAAAAAACACATATTTATGATAAAAACAAATAGTTACTTAAATTTAAAACACATTTTAAAGACTTAAAAAGAAACCATGCTATAACATGATAATTTCTTGCAAAAGGGTTACTATTAAGTAAAATAACTAAGTAGGCTATTAAAGAGAGTAATTTTGTTTTAGCATGGTTTTTGCATGCGTTAATAAAAGCATGCAAATTTTTACTTATATGAATCTAATTGCAAATTTCTTTAAAAGAAACCATGCTTAAATATTACAATTTCTTTTTTCTATAGCGAGCTTTTTTTCTATTTTCTTTCTTTTTTTTTAAAGTGAAGTAATGTTCATTTGCATATTAAAAATACTTTTAAAATGTTTGAAAATAACAATTAAGTTTTGCTGAAATATATACAATCTAATAGAATACATTTTTATATATTAATATGTTTATTATAGTTTTTATTATTATTGTGCGTCAATAATATGATATTTTTATTAACTTATTATTAAGTACTTAATATGATATTATTTTTAAATTTTTTAAAAAAGAAATATTAAAACAACTTTTATTTTATTTTGAGCTCCTTTTTATTTTAATTTTTTCAAGTTTTTTTTTTTTGTTTTATTTGTAAAGAAACTTAGCAAACTAAATTGAGAAAAATTCATTATTTAGTATCAATGGATAACAATTTACAATCTTTAGGTCATTGCATATTAATTATCATTAATTTGCGCGCACTTTGCTAATGCATAAAAAAATGTTTTGAAGAAATAAAAATCAATTAAATTCAATTAGCATCATTGATATATCTAATAACTTATTAACGAAAATAAAAATAATTTGAAAATAAAACTTCCTTATATGACATATATCTCTTAAATTAGATGTTTGACGTTAAATAAAGATATGAACGCCAAAATTCATTTCTTTATTTTGTGCCCTGGGCTTGTAACAAGTATAAAACCCAAAACTCTCCTAAAAAGCTGTTTAAAGTAGCAGCTCGCATAGCTCGCCATGTTTGTTTTAGGAGAGCTTTTAGCTGCTCTTGCACTGATTTCTTTCCACCGAGGCCTATAAATAAATAAATAAATATATATATATATATATATATATATATATATATATATATATATATATATATATATATATATATATATATAAATATATAAATATATAAATATATATATATATATATATACATATATATACATATATATATATATATATATATATATATATATATATATATATATATATATATATATATATATATATATAAATATATATATATATATATATACATATATATACATATATATATATATATATATATATATATATATATATATATATATATATATATATATATATATATATATATATATATATATATATATATATATATATATATATATATATACAGTGCTGGAAAAATACAATTGGACAAAAATAAAAATGATGCTGTCTAGCTAGTAAAAATGGTGTATTGTCTGCTCCTTTTCTAAATAACGATACTCCTTAGTTTTATCTGAATCATTCGACACAGACAAACAAATGTTGCACAATTTAGATGACAAAATTGACTCATTTGTATACAATAAATCATTAAAATTAGGTGTGCTTGATTTTTTTGTCAAGTTATGCGGAAAAATTTAATAGATCAAATTGTTTTTCATTAAAAATATCTTAGTTAATTCTAATTTATAACTTATTTTGTAAGATAATAATAATTTTCTGAAGACAAAACACTTTTTAACTCTTAAAAAAATTAATTTATGAAATATTTAGGAGTAAATTCTATATTTTAGCAATCATGGCTCCAGCAAAACAATGTTTGAATGAGACTCAATGAAAATTAATTTTGGATTTAGTTGAACAAAAACAAACTTACAAAACTATTGAAAAAGAGACTGGAGTTCCACATTCCACCAGTTCAAACATTGTAAAAAAAGTTTAAAAGTCATAAAACTGTAAAGACTTTGAAAGGACATGGGCGCAAACATAAGACTACTGTCAAAAAAGATCACTTGATTGTAAAATTATTCAAGAAAAGTAGATTCGAGTCATCCAGTAAAGTTGCAGAATACTTTGAAAGTAACACTGGAACCAAAATAACTGATAAAACAATACAAAATTGTTCAAATGAAAATGGGTTTAAAAGCTACAAACCACGTAAAAAACCAATTTCGACCCAGCAACATAAGAAAAAACAATTATTATTTGCTAAAACACATGTTAATAAGTCAGTTTCATTTTGGAAGAAAATACAGTGGTCGGATGAATCCTAACTTAATTTGGTACATTCTAATATCAACCAAAATGTTTGGAGAAAAGCTGGTGAAGCTTACCATTTAAGTTGCACTTAAGGAACCCTAAAACATGGAGGTGGTATTATAATGGTATGGGACTGTATGTCATGGTCTTAGAAATCTTGAATTTATCAATGATACAATGAATTTGGATATGTACATTGACATTTTGAATAATAATTTGACTTCATCAGTGAGTAATTTTGAGATAAGGTAGAAATTTTATATTTCAACATGACAATGATCCAAAACATAAGTCAAAAAAACAGAATTTTTACAAATCAAATCCATAAATGTTCTTGAATGGCCAGCACAAAGTCCAGATATAAATCCTATTGAAAATTTATGTTTGATTTTAGATAAACAAATAGGTAATCGTCACTTAAAGCAAAAGGAAGAATTAGAAACTGCTGTTACAAAGGCTTGGGATGAAATAAGTTCTGATAGTGGAATGTCAAAATATTGGAATGCTATAATAAAAGCTAAAGGAGGTCACACAATATATTAATTCTACCATAAGTCTTCTTAATAAATTAATTATGTTGTGTGTTCCATTATATTTTTCCAAATAAATTTATCCAAAAAATTGATGTTCACTTATTATTAATTACGATTTTTGAAAAATCTAAAAAATAATCTCAAATGCATTTTTTTTATAAAAATGATACTAAAAACTATCTTGAAAAAATCATTTACTAAATAAAAAGTGAATTTTTATGAACAAACTGGCAATTTTAATTAAAATTCACTATTTAAAATGGTTATCCCATTAACTTTTTTCAACACTGTGTGTACATATATTTAATATAAGAGCCTGAGGGCTCTTGGTTGAGTAAGGGCTAAAGATAGTTTTGATAAAAATACTCATCTTAGGCAGACATTAAATGCATCCAGCTATTGTCTTGTAAAAGGCCTCCTAGGCAAAGAATTAAGGGATAAACAGATCCTAACTGTTGACCAGCTTTTTAACCATTCTTCATCTATAAGGCTGGCACATGTGTATTTATAATACATTGTTTTCACTAAATGATGCTGAATGCTGGATCTTCTTGACTCATTGCATGGGTTTCACTAGTGTTTCTGTTTTTATGACTAGGCAACTCATTCTACTATCTCCTAATGAGGGTACAGTTCTAAAACTCACTGTTATGGTTCTGAGGCTAGCTGGTAGTCATGTTTCTAAAACTCGATGGTAGCTCTTCGAGAGGCTATTCCATCAACAGCTGTAAAATACCAGAGTAATAACATGCATGGATGGTGTCCCTGTTCGCAATTTTGGTTTGTATTGTCAAAACTGCATTTGGAACCCAATGTAATGGCTTTGGGTTTATTGATAGTAATTAGGCAATTATTTGAACTATTAGATGGTGTACTGAGTACTATCTGTGCTTTGAGTCTAGTTCTTTAACCAACTTAAAAAATGACTTAAGTATCAAAAATAATAAAGTACAAAAAATATTGCCATCACCAAGTTCTCTAAATCTATCATACACTAATATTTGTGATTTTCATGTAACTTTTGTTCTGTTAAGTCTTATCTTATGCTTCACCAGACCTACTTTCTCTTTGTGAGACTAATTAGAGTTCAGCTGTCTATTCCTGTGATCTTAGTGTTGATGGTTTTCTTCCTTTAAATCGTAAATTAAATCGTAGATTACAAGTGACACATGCTTGGCCTGGGTATTTACATTTGTAAGAATTTGCTTATTTGTCGGAAAACTAGGTTGGAATCCACAGACTATTCTTTTATGTGGTTTTGTTTAGCACCACTTCACCCTATCACCTCTTTTATTGCTCTATATCACTCTGCTTCGTCTCAAGACTGAACTCCTTTCAATATTATTTCTGATCAAATTGACCAAGCCCTTTCTCTTTATTCATCAGCAAATATCGTTGTAGTTGGTAACTTTAATGCCCATCACACTATATGGCTTAGTTCTTGTGTTAGTGAAGCTGCAGGTGTTAAGCCACAACTATGGTCTCAATCTCTAACACAAATAGTCGACATTCCAACTCGTTTTCAAAACAATCCAAATCATTGATCTAAATCTTCTCTTCTTGACTTGTGTCTTGTTTTTGATCTTAGTCAGTGCTTAGTTTCTCCATATTCACCCTTAGGTGCTTAATACTAGGACTCTTTCTGTGATTTTCTATGTGATAGCTCTTGGCTAGAAATCTTTCGTCTTCCTGCTAACCAATGCGCTTCTTATGTAACTTGTTGGAGCCAGTCTAGCATGGAATTTTTTATTCCCTCTCAAGGATTCCAAGTCAAGTCTCACTCTTCTCTATGGTTTTTCTCTCATTGTGCTGCTGCAATTTCCAATCGTAACCATTACTTCCTTACTATTGCTAAAAAAATTCTCCAGAAAACAGACCTCAGTTTACTATTGCTAGAAACCATTGTAAAAAGGTATTGTCTAATGCCAAAGCTCGCAATCACAAAGCCTTGTATTTTATCTCAAAAATTAGACTTCTGGAGAGTCTTTAACAATGTCTATAATAAGGGCAAATCTGTTATTACACACATACATAGCAAGAATTCCTCCTCTCTTGCAAAATTCAGATTTTTTTACTTCACCTAAAGACAAAGCTGAACTGTTTGCTAAGAACGCTTCATTAATCTCTTGATACCACTAGTTGCAGCATCTTAAATGATGTAGCCGACAAACAGGTTGTTCAATTGCTTGACATTTGAATCACTCCAGCTTCTGTATCTAAAGTGATTTCCTGTTTAGACTCTTCTACATTTTGTGTTCCGGACAACATACCTGTTAAAGTCTTGTGGAAGTGTTCTCCGGAGCTGTCACCTACACTTTTAAAAATATTCAACAAATGCTTATCAGAGACTTGTTTTCCAGCCTGCTGGAAAACAGCATCTTTTATCCTTATTATTCCAAAAAATTTGGAGAGCGATCTGACTCTTTTACTGTCCCATCTTCTTTCTGTCATAAGCAAGATTTGAGTCTTTAACTAACTTACATATAATCTCTCATCTTAAACCTAATAACTAACTTTCTGATCATCAATATGGATTTCGATCTTCTTGTTCTACTGCTGTTTTGTTAACGGTAATAACTGATAAGTTTTATCATGTATTAGACAGATGCAGGCTTGGTTGGGAAGCGGGTGCGATCGCACTCGATTATTGACCATGGAAATATTATTTAGTTGCAAAAAACCGGCCAGATTTTTTAGTCATTTTGAGAACATTTCAAAAACAAACAAAAAAGCACAGTAAGATCAACTGCTCCAAGAATTAAAATAATAGTTCGTTTGATAGTATATTCTTAAAATAATTTATGCTAGAAATCTCAACAAAAACGTAACAAAACTCAAATAATACAATTTTTTAAAATATTTCAACAGAATAATCAGGACATATGGCTAGTATTTTTTTGAATACTCTAAAAATTTCGGTTAGTATTTTTTGAACTAATAGAATTAGTTGTTCGTAGATTTGGCGGGTTTTTTGTGTTTGTGAATATTTTTTTTTTAATTTTTCCGTACTAAGATGTTTGAGAACTTTCAAGTTTATGTATGTTTCCATGTAAGTCCGTAAAACAAAATATTTTAAAATTTACGATAAAATGAACTTATTATATTGCGGACAAACAAGGAAACATACAAAAACTTAAATGTTCTCAAAACGACTAAAAATTCTGGTCGGTTTTTCGCAACTAAATATTATTTCCGTGGTCAGTTATCAAGTGCGATCGCACCCGCTTCCCGACCAAGCCTGCAGATGTGGAGAGGTTGAGGCTATCACTTTCAACATTTTTAGGTTGAGGCTATCACTTTCAACATCTCCCTAAAATTCTCACATCATAAGTTGAATTGTTCGCAAATGATACTACCATTCATTCTTGTTTTGATAAGAAGCCAACACACTCTGATTGCTTGGAGGGGACATTTGAGCTTGAAAAGGATCTCTTTTCAAGCCCAATGCTTCAGCATTGGGCTTCCAGTGGTTGGTGAACTTTAACTCCGATAAGATTCAATTTTTTTTCAGCTAATTGTTATTGCAACAATCTAGATCTTCCTATATTTATGAACGGTAATGTACTCAATGAGTCATCTACCCTCCCTCATCTAGGATTAACTGTTACTTCCAATCTTTCTTGGAAACCATATACCAAATCCATTGAAATATTAGCATTTGCTAAGGTTATATCTTTTTATCATGCTTGCCACTTTCTTACCCCAGATTCTATTCTTTATTTCTATAAATCCTAAATTTGTCCTTGTATGGAATACTGTTGCCAAATCTGGAGTGGATCTTCCAATGATGCACTTTCTCTTTTAGACAAGGTGCAAAAACGAATTGTAAACATAGTAGGACCTGCTCTTGCAGCTTTAAACTTTAAACTTTAAACATTGTCACATCGTCATAATTTTGCTTCTATTTCTATTTTCTATAAATACTATATATACGCTTCTCTAAAGAGCTAGGTCGTCTGTGCCATTTACTGAAATTCATTCTTGTGTTGTTCATCATTAAATTAAGTGTCATGCTTTTACTGTGACTGTTCCTAAGTGCTTGAAAAATTCTTATTTGTCTAGTTTTTTTCTCGAACTGGTTATAACCAGTGAGAGTCTTTGATAACACTGTGACACTCATTTTATAAAAGTCGCAAATTAATAAACTTACATTAAGATTGGTAAATTATACAACTTTACACAGTAGATATCTTTAAAAATTTTGAAAATTTAAATCAAGTCCCACCTTTTTCTTTTTTTTTTCTTTTTTTCCTTATGATGTTAATGTTGTCAATTGTTTTCAGTCTTTCTTTGAATCTAAAATTCTTTTAAGTGGGGATTATCTTTGTTACACTGTGCTGAACACTTCTTGATAATCTCATGACTGCTTTTCTAATTGGATACTAAACCCAAACAGAGAACCTGATTTGATGTCTAATATATACTGTATACAAAATTTTTGAAACCCTTGGGTCAAAACCTACAAATAATTATTTTATTATACAAAACATAGAGTTCGCTTTAGAGGTGCTTACAACTACTCATTGTTTCAAATTCAAGTCGTTTAAATCTTGTTCGCTTACTTTAGCATTTAACTGAATATTGTTGATAAAATAATTAAGATGTCTAAGATGATGATGCATCACAAAGCGTTTCTTTATATTTAACTCAATCAGCCAATTTTGGAACCAATTAAACACTTTGTTTAAATCAATTTTTTGTAACAGTGAACTGTCATTTGAGAAATCCAATTTTGATATGACTTTAATGTCATCAGCATATAGTCTACAATCATACTTTATTGTACCAGATATATTGTTAATATAAAAAATGAACAAAGGTTCAAGTATGATCCTTGTGGAACTTCACTAAGATCAACATTCCATGATATTCTTAGTGGATAAAATAATTAAAATTTGCCATTATTAGAAAAAAAGGATAGACAAAAATTTTTAAAATCTTTAATTCATTAAAAAAATATATATTTTAAAAAACATTCATACATTTTCCAAAACCGCTACCATTCCTTGGTGAAACTGGGTAGATTTTTCTAAACGTTTTATTTTCTTTTCTGCTTCTTGTTGGTCAGTGGTCTTTACTTTCAACCTTCCATGCTTTAATAACATAAACATAATGTAAATAAATCATTATTTTAAATAAATTTTAATTTATTAAAATAAAAATTAAAAAAGTCTTTCTTTGTGATTTTTTAGTTTAGATCTTTTTATTTAAGATATGGGTAATTCTACATCAAATCACCCAGCCCATTGAATCATATATTTTTCTTTCAAGTTAGCTTTTATTTTTACATTACAATGTATTTTTATAATTAGAAAGAAAAAAATAAAATGTCTGTCTTGTCACCCTTTACCCTTTTAGATTATTGTGCATGGAAGATAGTGTTTTGTCTGATATAGGTTGTATTCTTTCTGGAATTTTTGGTTCCATGGAGAAGAACTGGTTTCAGGGTCATCACTGATAAGGACCTGATAATCCAAACTGAGAAGTATATTCAAAAGGATATGAAAGTCGCAGTAAAAGATGGGAATTAAAATGAGTTTGACCTTTTCAGTTTCTGTGACCCGCTATGTGGGTCATTACATTTGGTAGTAAATTTGAATGTTAAAAACTAGAAAAAAAACTAAACTTTAAAAAAATATTTTAATGGCTATTTTTCTAAAAAAAGAAAAAAGGAGTGAAGTTCTGACAATTAGTTTTTATCTTTTAAATTAAATCATTTCACTTACAACTATTGTTTTTTGTATGGGACTGAAACAGTTATGATTTCTAAGAGTTGAAAAGGGAAAAACTCTAACATATAAGTCTAGATTTACTTATTTCAAAACTTCATATAATCAAAAAGAATACTTTAAAAAATAATCACAAAGTATACTTTGATACCATAATGAATTTGTCTCGACTGGGCAGTTTTTAAATCTATATATATAAAGTTAAGGTGTAAGCTATCCTCATGGTATACCATATAACTTGGAATTCCCAATTGGTTTAAAATTCATAAAGGTTCAAAAGATCATATTAAATTAAAAAATGAAATGTTTGCATATTAATAAAGAGTAAACAATATACTTTAAATTAAAATAAGTTCTTATCATTTTTATAATAAATATGTTTTTTGACCAAAAACACCAAAAAAATCGAAAATATCAAAATTGAAACTTGCAACAAAGTATATCATAATATATTTGTGTTGAATTTAAAGGAGGATAATTAATAAACATGTTTTTTATAATGTTTTTTTTTATTTACAAATGCAAAAGTTTAATTTAAAAAAACAATATTTATAAATACAATAATTGTTTTTTTAAATGTACAAATTCAAAATTTACTTAATATATTTATGTCATAATCAGAGTATTTTACAATTTTATTCGTTTTATGTTAGTGCGTATTAATAGGAGACATTTACATATAAAAATGGGATGCGGAAAGCATTGTCCAGAAAAACGAGAACTGATCCGAAATTTGATATCAGCACGGAAATCTTATAAAGAAGTTGGTCGTTTAGTTGAGTGTTCCAATAAAATGATAAGAAATGCCATAAAATTTCAAGAAAAGCCTGGAACACATGGTCAAAAATGTTTTATTTCAACATTGCTGGCCAATCACTTAGTTTAACCAACAGGCTAAAAAGGAATCTTTTAAAACAGCTACCGAGCTGAAAAAGGATTTTTTTATCATCGATGGAACAGTACAAACAGTTCCGAGTTGTCTGCGAGTTAATGAATTAAAAGCATGTAGCCCCAGAAAAGTTCCACTTCTAAGTGCCAGACATGTTGTAAAGCGTATTGCGTTTGCTAAAAAACACTAAAATTGGCCACTCGAAAAATGGAGGAATATTTTATGGACAGACGAAAGTAAGATAGTGCTTTATGGTAGAAAAAGGCTCTCGGGCATATGTCAGAAGACCACCGAATGCAAAATACAATCCAAATATACAATCAAAACTATTAAACATGGAGGTTGTAGTATAATGATATGGGCATGCTGTTCTTATTACGGAGTTGGGCAATTAGTAGGTCACTTGTTAGAATATGGCTATGATGCGGAAACTAAATAAAGTGACTATTTTCACAGATTCCGTGACAGTGTTCCACTGGGTCTCTGACACTCTTACTGGTAAGTCAAGATTGAAATCAAAAACAATAAGCGAAATGTTGATTCGAAGAAGACTAAATGTGCTGCAACAATTTATCAAAGAAAGTCTTAATATTAATGTAAAATTAGTTCCTTTAAAAGATAATTTACCTGACGCATTGACAAGAGTTTGAAGCAGATGGTTGAATAAACTTACAGAGGCTAAGCATTAGAATAATTCCATTGGAGTAGTAGTTGCAGAGGCTGAATCAATTTCTAGCATACACAAGAAAACCAGACACTTTGGAGTGAATCAAACATTAAATTTTGTTTGTAAAGTAATTTCAACCGCGACCAAAAATGACTTTCGAGCTGTAATTAAAAATTGCAAACTATGTCAGTTAATAGATCCAGCAACTGTACAATGAGTGAAGGGAAAATTGAGCATTAAAGAAAATTTAGAAGGAGTGGTCAAGATTTTCACATATTTAGGCACAGAAAAATTTCTTACTCTAATTGATTGCGAATTACGCACGACAACAATTTTCAAGTTCATACAGAAGTATTGCTATTACTTGAATACTCTGCCTAATCTTTTGTGAGCGAGAAGCACCATATGAAATTTTGACAGATAATGAAGCAACTTTTAAAACTGAGGAATTGAGAAGTTTTCTTGATGGTTGCCAAGTGCGCTTTAGGTTTTGAGCTGCTTATTATCCAGAAGGAAACGGAATTGTGGAAAGAAACCATCATACAATTAAGAATTGCAGAAAGATCGAAAATGTCAATACCGGAAGCAGTATATTGGTACAAGTCTCAGGCAACAAAAATAATGCAAGCCCAGAGAAAAAATACAGCTATCAAATTGACGTAAAAGGATTTAGAAATGATAATTTTCTGGCAAAAGCTGACAAACAAAATGTTTTAAAATGGTGATAATTTATGATTGAAACCAGCAAATGCAAAGTGCCATACTAAATGGCAGCCAGCAAAACTAACTGGAAACATTTTGAAACAAGTTGTAGAAGTTAATGGTGTTATGTGTCGCATAAAACATATCCGATAAACATATACATACATATAAATACATCTCGAAATAACGCTCTAACATTATGCGGTATTCCTTAAGGCGAAGTAGAAATAGAAATAGAAAATTATTTGTATGATCCTTAAGACCAAGAAGTAGTGTAAACTTGGTGTAGAAAGTTCAAGAACATTCTATGGCAATTATGTGGTTTCTTTTTATCAATAGTTCTTAATTATTTATATTATAATTATGTATTAAGCAGTTTTGTTATCTCGATTTTTGTGGGTAATTAGTTTTGCAAAGAGGCGTGGAATGAACTTTTGTAATTTATATAAAATTTTTGTAAGGATGAGTGGAATTGAGGTTGAAAATTACATTTTTGGAAAGAAAAGAAGTTTTGTTTGGAACAATAATGCGGTAGTGGTGTAGTGGTAGAGCGCTCGCTACATAGACGAGTGGTTCCGAGTTCAATCTCCACCACGTCCCTGGTAGTACCGCGCTCAACTCGTTTCTTTGCGCAGCGGCCTTGTTTGTCAAGGTTCGTGTTTCGGAGTTATAGAGTTGAGAGAGGGTTATAGCCACAAATAAGTAGCCTCCTCGTCTGTAGTGGCCTTCTCGGCCTTGAGGAGGTGAATTAAAATAAAAAAAAAAAAAAAAAAAGAAAATAACATGTATGACACAAAACTTTAAGCATTACTATTAATGTCATTTTTCATTTAAATAAAGTTTAAAAATATATCAGGCCTTAAAGCATAAACTAGCGCATCATTTACATAAGGTCCTTTAGGATCATACAAATAATAATTGCCATATTTTTGGGGCATGCGCCATTTTTTGAGTACTTCCACCATGACTTTACTGGAGTAAACCATAAATTTCACAAAATATCCAACAGAAACTCAATCAAAGTTCTGAAAGCAATATACTTTTTGCAATGTCCTCATTTATATTTATAAGTTTTATTGTGCGAAAAATAATAGTTCAGAAAAATATTTTATAAAAGTTACATCAGCTTTATATAATTAACTGATTGTGCGATATCAAAAAAGTAAAAACAAAAATTTCCTTATAATTTAAAATAAATTTTGAACAAAAAAAATTATTTAAATTTTAAAAAATTTGAGGAAAAAAAAGCGGAAAAAAAAAATGAGAAAAAAAAAGTTTTTTTTCCTCATTTTTTTTAACTCCTTTTATACATTTTACAAAAAATATTTATTAAGCATACGCTTATTTTATTTGTCATAAGGCATTTGTAAGCGCATTGGTAAATAATTTTTAATAAATGGTATTTGGAAACTTAAATCTTTGTTGGTCACAAAAAAGAAGTGCTGGTAAAGTAATTAACTTGAGCTTTTTTTCTTTTTTTTCTATTTTTGCGATAAGTAATATTTTTTGTTTGATAATAACTTTTTAAAAGTAAAGAATCATAATTATATGCAAAGCCGCTATTTTAAAAACTAATGAAAAAAAAATTAACATATTTTAATTCATTTATACAAATGTCGAAAATAGAAAAAAATTAATTCATATTAAATGATAATAAAAAATGTAATATTAAATTTAATTATTTAATATTCAAAAGCAAAAAAAAAAAATGAAACAAAACAGACATTCCACAATATGTATATTTCGAAAATAACACTTCTAGATTTGTTTTTATTAATTAGTAAAAGAAACTTGTTTTTTTATTTTATTGTGGCAGTTAAAAAATTAAATGTCCTTAAAATAATAAAAAAATAAACTTTATGACGTCAAAATCACAAGTAGCTGATGAGCTAAGTCATTTTTTATTTAAAACAATGCCTGTAATGATAGTATTGATGTTTTATAACAATTGATTGTTCAACTCTCAGTTTCTCATTTTTGTTTTGCTATTTTAATGATTCTTATTATTTTGAATATTCTTATTATTTTGAATATTAATTTGTTTTCTTAGGAATGCTGTAGAGAAATCTGAGAAAAAGTTAGAAAAGTTAATGTTCTTAAACTTAA